GGTCTTTGAACAGTCTATGAGGAGTGAAGGGAGGTAGTTTTTTAACCTTCTAAATTATTTATCCTACAATCTTTAGAAAAGTTGTATTCAGAATAATGTTTCATATACAACTTAGCCTGAAGAGAGAAAGAAAGTGGCCTGTAATAGGGGAGATAAGTTTTAACTGTAGAGGAATGATGCATTTCCCATAATTAATTTGGACTGTGTAGTGCCCTTTTGTTTAGTCTGAACACAGCTTAGTTTTTTGCTGGCTTCTTGATTCCTTCTTGGCTACAGCAAAAGAGGAATAATAAAACAAATACAGGATCCTTTTGCAATTCCGTTATAGTAATCCTCTCTGATTCAAACCATGTTCCACTGTAACAGACTTGAACTTTAGGCAACTGCAACAAACAAAAAAATGGGAGTAAGAAGTGGAAGCAGAGCAAGAACAATTTTGAATTTTGCCTCAGTTTGTTAAACTCATTGCTTTCCACTGGTTAGTGCTGGCACTTTGGTGGACTTCATCAATGCTGTCACAGGCATTGACTGGAGTGGTCAGTCACTCTCCATCCATTATTCCTTCAGCAACAGCACCAGGCAAAGTGTATATAAATATATATGTATGTCCTTGCAAAATATTTGCAAGTCATAGAAACTTAGAGCTTTAACTCCTTTAGACATCCTGACCAGAAACATACCTTGTATGTGTGTTGGGAATGAAAGTTGGACTAATTTATTTTTTTACTCATAGCATTTTCTACCAGCTTCTTGTCCATCAAGTGTTCTTTCATCCTGGAACAGGTCCCTCTGGTTTATAGGCTCTGCAGTCCAGCTAGATGATGGGCTGATCTTACTGCCCCTCTGTCCTCCTGCCTCAGCTGCTAATGTTGCTACATAAAGCTTGTAGTACAAAAGAACAGATTGTCTCAGTCTTCAAACAGGTACCTGATGGGTACTTCAGAGATTGCAACCTTACTTTCTATCCAAGCAGTAGTTTGTACTAGGATTTCTTGACACTGCAACAGTGTTGTGGATCCATGCAGCCTGTGCAGTGGGGCTGCAAGTGTTCAGGGAGCAAAGGACCAGTTTTGTTAGGAATGGACTTCAATTTATTTAGTAAAATTTAGTGGCACATATTGCACTTTGACTGCACAGTTCTATGGAGCACAATGTGATTGCACACTGTACATGGTTCTGCAGGGGAGTCATGCCCCACATTTGTTGCTCTTGTATACTTTAGCCTATATTCCTCCTCTTCTTCTCTGCTCCTTCACACTGAGCTAACTGCTCCTTTCTCACAAGGGGCCTCGAGGGCTGAAAAGTATTACAGATTGCATGGACAGTGCATATTCAAGCTGAGTATTTGATATTTTGGCAGTCATTCTCTGATGCAGCATTCAGTGCAGCTTACAGAAGTGTATGTCCATGGTTTTGCACAGCCTCTGTGTTCCTCAGTGACACCAGATGATGTGAAGGTATTCTGTGGAAGTGTGTCTCATCTGTTCTGCTATGAGGGAGCTCTTAGAATATTATACAGAAGGAGGAGCAAGAGCCTACTTGGAGAAGACTATACTTGATGGAAACAGACTTTTAAGAAAGCTGAGAGCCAGTTTGCTGTCTTAGGATGTTAATGACAGACCACGCTTTTCTTCATTGTTGGAATATTGGTGGGCTTATGCTGCATAATTGAGCTAAACTTGCTGGTTTGTCTACAAAAGCAGTCCAGCAACAGCAAGTTACATTTGGAAAAATAAGCTTACACAGACCTCCTTTCTTCCCTAGTTCTCATTCTTTAGGACTATTTTGCCACAGAGTGCTAAAGAGGAACAATTAGGCAGAAAAGTAAGTACAGCTGTAATGCAGTCAACACGACAAGGCTGTCTTCATTTTGGTAGTTTGGTCTGTTCTTACTGTGTCTTAAAAAGCTGCTCCAGCCCTGAAGCGAAGTACTGGAATTCAGTGGGTTTTAGTGTGATTGGTGCTAGAGCAAGAGATGTTGGACATTGAGAATATACAGGATAGCTTTGCTCTCTCTTGGTTTTTCTGATTCCTTTATGGTCTGAATGAGAGGTGGCCCAATAAATGAAGTTTATATCTGAGGGCTGATTTTCTTCTCTTGCAATAGTACGGGGAAGAAATGGAGGGACGATCCCCTGGAATCCTGCCAAGTCTGTGCTCACAGGGCAGTTAGATCCCCAGACTTGTCTGAGCTGACCCGGCAGGCATGGCTGGTGTCATGGCACATCAGCAAAGCTAGGTGGCCCAGCAGTGCTGTGTACTGGCATTAATTCGTGTTTCATGGGTGGTGCCTAAGTGCCTTGCACCGGCAGTGGTCAGAGTCACGGTAGTTATATATGGTAGTGTAACTTCATCCTTCTGTAGTGTATCATGGAATTTCATGAGCCAGGGAGATATGACCGCCCTGAGACGATGGAGATGCTTCCTGTGCTGGGATTCTGGATGATAACCAGAGATGGCAGGCAACCAACCATCTCAGGAACTGCAGTCCTTCTAAGCCAGCCAACAGAAAGTGGTAAAAACTCAGAAATGGCTGTATCTTCCTTTTTCCTAAAGTCATAGCCATTAAACTAATTCCTTTTAGCTCTATTAGCATGCTACAGTTTTCAGCATGAGCTCTCAGCATGTTTGTAATGGCAAAGATTGATTTATTGTCACCTCATGAGTCAATGTATTTGTATTAGCCTGTGAATGTCCCTCATTTTCTTTGTGGAAGCACTGAAGAGAGCTATGTTGCCTTTCTTGATAACTTATAAGAGCTCCTCCTTGGTGTGCCCCTGGAAAAGAGGCACTTTAAAATCCTGCTTCTGAGTGCCTCTTCATTAGGTAGTGAGAAGCTCTTGTCTATTGTCTTTCTAAGATGCTCTGCTGTCTTCTCCATTTCTGCCTCTCCAGTTGTGGGCCTTCAGTAAATTAGGGCAAGCCAAGGTTTGAACAAGGGGAATCTCATATGCAAAAGCTCAGGTTTTATTCTTCTGTCTCAGCAAAGGCAGAGTATTGCCCCTGGCAATACAGAACTCCTTTGAGGCTTTTGGAAACATGCTAGCCTTCAAATGATAGCCAGCTTCTCTCCAAAAGGGAGAGAGGCCAATAGCAATGTTAATAAATGTCATAAAAACAGGACACAGGATGTGTTTCTGTTCTCTCCTGTCATCCTGGTCATTGCATTCAGTTTAGAAAATCAGGACACTCTCTTAACTTCCTGGGGGGAATTTTGCAGTTTTTGTTTGTGTGTAGGTGATTCCAGGTGCTTACCTGGTATTTTGGCTCTCCAAACTAAGCCACACTTATTCTTAACCTCTTCTTTTTCCCTCCTGCACAGTGGTTATCTCATTGTACATTGACCAGAAGCTGTGACTGAATGCCAACCTGCCTCTCAGTTAAGAACTAAATGAAGGGAATAGTTTCAAGTAAAAACCTGGGAAAAATGTTATGCAGTTTATCTGCCTCTCTGTACTCTGTGTGTGTGTTTACTTGTTGCAAGGATTCTAGTATCTCTGGATAGGGCTACCTTTTTAATTTCCTATCTTTATTTGTAAAAGCCATCAGAAAAGGTTAATGAGGATCTCAGTTCTCCACCTAAACTCCAGTTCTCACTTTCTGCATGCTGCAGATTCCCCCTCACTAATTTTTTAATTTGCCACAGGGGTAGCATGTGTGAGAGGGTATTTTTCAGGCTCTGTAGCTGCATTTTAAAGGCAAAACTGGTTCACACAAGAAAGTCAAAAGAATTTTCTTTCTCCTAGCTCCCAACAAGAAAAATTTCAGTTACCATGTAAGTATAGATCCTATTAGTTTCTGAAACAAGGTCAACAGCACTTTATGGGGTACTTGGGTTCGTATTTCTCAATCAGTGAGAAATGCCCCAAACTCACACCAGAATCTGGCTGCCTGCAGCAGGCAACTGTTCCCCTCTCCTTCCTGGGGAAGGAATTTATGCAGCAGCTGGATATGTCTCCTGGAATAAGCCAGAGCAATCAGTGCCAGTGTGGCATGTCTGACTACCTATCCACTAATTTCCATGCACTAAAATGCTTTATTCTTGGAAGGAAAAAAAGGTTCAGGTCTCAGCCTCATTTCAGCTTTTTCTGTTGGCATGTTCATCATATGGAGAAAAGACAGACTAGCTGAGAAAGAGTTTCTTCCCTGGTTCTCAGTATCCCTGAGGATTAAACCCCTTTCCCACTGCTGCTGCAGAGCACCAGACACTGCTTAACTGGTATGACATAACAGTGCCTGTTCAGTGATGGCATGATGTTGAAAGGCAGCATTCTGTATTTCTGTATCTATAGCTGTTGCTCTTCCTCCTTTTTTTCTTCTCTTTCTCTCTGATATCGTTGTTGTCTACAGAAAGAAAATGTGAGTCAAATAGCATCAAACTTGTAATACCACAATGATTATGAAATGAAACAAACTGAAGTTGCCAGCTCTGTAGTACTGCTTTTAATGGATTTAATGGTGTTTTTCTGCTGTGGAACTCTTATGTGTAAATCAGCTATGTGAAAAGCATGAAAAATGTTGAAAATATAGAAGAGGAGTTCAGATTATATAAACAGATACAGGGAGAATATAGTATCTTGCCAAGGACATTTTCAAATAATGAATATGCCTTGCATTAAATTAATTTGTTCCCTTTCTGAAGTCTAGATATTACTGTCACAGAAACTACCATGACAGCTGACACTCATGATTCTCTTGCTGGTAATTTGAAAGGGAGCCCAAGGAGATTGTCTCTTGTCCTCTAATGAGGATCATTCTGGGATTAGGCAGAGTTTCAGTAACTGGTATGAGGAGAACCACAGCTACTGAGGGTTTCAGAGGACATTTTTAGAAAAAGTTCATCTGTCTTAAAAGAGCCCAGCTAAAAGGAGGATATTTGAAGACCTGTGTTTTTATCTTACTTTGCCTGATTCGATGAGCAGCTCTTGCTCCTCAGCATGTGCTTGACAGTGTTGGTGAGAGCACCCCTTTGTCTGGGGCCTGTGCTTCCTGTGTTCCAGGTTCTCTGAGCCAGACCCCAGCCACACACTGGAGGAGCGAGTGGTACACTGGTATTTCAGCCAGCTGGACAACAACAGCAGCAATGACATCAACAAGCGGGAGCTAAAGCCTTTCAAACGGTACGTGAAGAAGAAAGCCAAGCCCAAGAAATGTGCCCGGCGTTTCACTGACTACTGTGACCTCAACAAGGACAAGTCAATCTCGCTCCAGGAGCTGAAAGGGTGTTTGGGAGTCAGCAAGGAAGGAGGTGAGGTTTTTTTTCCTTTTCTTCCTCGTTGCGTGACAGTAAATACTGTCAAACAAACATGACAAATAAAAACTGAGTTACAGCAAGTTCGTTTTCTTCCAGCTGTTTGAAAAGTGTCACAGTTTGTGTGAGCAAATGAGTGGGATCAATACACTGCCATGCAAATGGAATTTGTTACTTTGTTATGGCTCCATCTTCTATGCCTTATCACAGACCTCTGTGCTAAGCACAGTACAGAAACAGGACAACAGATGAGAGTTCTTGGCTAGAATTCTGCTTGTACTGTTGAAATCCTTGGAAAATGTAGTTAAGATCAGATCCCTTCTGAGTAATACCCTGCTAACAAGATCTCAGCCATGCAGGTTGGATGATGTATGAGCCAGCACAGACCCAGTCCTTCTCTCGAGACCCTGTTTACTAACAGAAATAATATTTATCTTCACTGCTCAATTCAGCATGCAGGAGAGTGGATGATGCAAAGAGAACAACTCAGAAAGAAAGCACAGGGCTGTACTGTTGCCCTTTTTCAGACTTAAATTGTACTTTGAGATTGGGGGAGAAATAAAACATGTGAATAACCTATTTTCCTTTCTGTTTAGTGTCTGAGCAATTAACCCACCCTCCTGCCTTTTCTTCCTTTTTTCATCTTCACCTCATCATCTGTTGGGACCCAAACCAAACTGATATTTTTGGAAATTGTAGGAATTGAAACTGTTCAACCCAAATTCAATAATTATCAGTCATTCTTGACTGTGGGCAGACTTGCTTGGCAGGAGAAGGCAAACAGGGAGATTCCAGGGGACTAATTTCCTGTGCAGGTGTTTTGGCTGTGCAGACAGCTGTTGTTAAAAGTGTCACATTAGTTGTGAAGGGTGGATAGTTTTTTTTTTTCTCCCATCTTGGTCTTTCCTTAGTCCTTTTCTCAAGTTTAGCACGAGTGGGAAGGGAGTCAGTACATTTGGGTGTTGGGGAGTTGCATTTTCTAGGTGCTTTGCAAACATCTTAGTTACCATAATAAGCATATAGCATTACTTGTCAGCTGTGAGAACCATTCAGCTTCCTTAGCCCTGTGGAGGTGTTTTTTTAGTCATCAGTACTTTACTGAGGAATGACATACCAAAATAGCAATCCTTAATTTTATTACCTTCCCAATAAGACAAATACGCCAAATGAATTTTATTGCTATTTGGCCTGGAATAAGACTCTCTGGAATCTGGTGCCCTGGCCAACTGACTGTTTAAAATTTAATTTATGGAAAGGGAAAAAATCAAAGGGAGAAAAGAAAGAAAATGTGAAACTTTGAGCCCATGGGAAGGAGAAAGAAGTCAGCAAGACGTTGTGAATGCCTGATTGCCCAGTTGTTTGCTGAGAACACAGCCTTGACCTTTCATGGTTTCTTCTGAGGACAGGACTGTGGTCAAAAAGGGCTCTGATCTTGTTCTGTCATACAGCTCCACATACCTACTACAGAACTGATAAGCCTTGAGGATCAAAGATCAAGTGATAAGTTAAAGGATGGTGAGGACTAAAAAGCAGTGCAGGAGGCAGTGCAGAGAGCAGGTACTAACATGGAAGAAAGAACTGAGGGAGAGTGCTCCAGAGGTGCAGTAAACAAGTTTGTAATGGATCTTTTTTAAGTCATGAAGTTGTGCAGTGGTAGATGACGTGTTTTCTATGCTTCCTATTCACAAGAATCACAATAATCACAATAATCACAAGGTTGGAAGAGACCTTCAAGATTATCGAGTCCAACCTGTTTCCTGACACCTCAACTAGACCATGGCACCGAGTGCCACATCCAGTCTTTCTTTAAACACATCCAGGGATGGTGATTCCACCACCTCCCCTGGCAGAGAATTCCAGTACTTGATCACTCTTTCCATTAAAAACTTTTTCCTAATATCTAACCTATATTTCCCTTGACACAGCTTAAGACTGTGACCTCTTGTTCTGTCAGTTCATAAGAACTTATAAATTTAGAAACAATCAGTATCTTTGTCTTTGGCATGGTCCCCCACAAATCATCTCTAGACTGGAGAGAAATGGTTGGATTATTAGGTGGATAAGGAGTTTGTTGGATGGTCACATCCAGAGGGTGGAGGTCAATAGCTCAGAGTCCTGATGGACATCAGGGACAAGTGGTGGCCCTTGGGGTCCATATTGGGACCAGTGTTACTTAATATCTTCATTAATGGCACAGACAGTGGGATTGAGTGCACCCTCAGCAAATTAGCAGATGACACCAAACTGAGTGGTGCAGTTGCCATGCCTGCATGGTGGGATGCCATCCAGAGGGATGTGGACAAGCTCAAGAAGTGGCCCCATGGGAACCTTATGAGGTTTAAGATGACTGAAGGCA